TGTAACCCTTTCCTACCAGATACGAATATCTAAATATGTAAAATAAGGGTAAAAAAAATTCTCAGCACACACACGTATATATATACAGATAAAAATATACATCTGTGTATATGTCTTAAAAATGACAAAAAGTTCAGAATTTTGGAAAAAAAAATGTTTTAGAGTTTTATTTTTCAAAGATTTAAAAAATATGTCTTTCCTAGTGGGCCATCGTGGGCAGGTCCATCTAGCACACAACGTCTCCTCGGCCATCGTGGGCAGGTCCATCTAGCACACAACGTCTCCTCGGCCATCGTGGGCAGGTCCATCTAGCACACAACGTCTCCTCGGCCATCGTGGGCAGGTCCATCTAGCACACAACGTCTCCTCGGCTTCAACATTCCTCACTTGACCCTCAAGTTATGATGCTCGCTATACACGCTGTTTCAAAATAACGGACCAAATTTTACAACAGTATGTACTGAAATTGTGTCCAAATATTTGAAACACCCTACACACACACACACACACACACACACACACACACATACCCGACGGTGTAAGGAGGCAAAAACAAAGTGCAATAGAGAATGGAAAAAGTACAGAAGGCAGAGAACACACGAAAATAGGGAGATCAGTCGCAGAGCCAGGAATGAGTACGCACAGGTAAGGAGGGAGGCCCAGCGACAGTATAAAAATGACATAGCATCGAGAATCAAGACTGACCCGAAACTGTTGTATAGCCACATCAGGAGGAAGACAACAGTCAAAGACCAGGTGATCAGATTAAGGACAGAAGGTGGAGAACTCACAAGAAATGATCAGGAGGTATGTGAGGAGCTGAACAGGAGATTTAAGGAAGTTTTTACAGTAGAGACAGGAAGGGCTGTGGGAAGACAGCACAGAAGGGAACATCAAGAGGGAATTATACCAACAAGTGTTGGATGACATACGAACAACTGAGGAGGAGGTGAAGAAGCTCTTAAGTGACCTTGACACCTCAAAGGCGATGGGACCGGACAACATCTCCCCATGGGTCCTTAGAGAAGGAGCAGAGATGCTGTGTGTGCCTCTAACCACAATCTTCAACACATCCCTTGAAACTGGGCAACTACCTGAGAAATGGAAGACAGCTAATGTAGTCCCCATATTTAAGAAAGGAAACAGAAACGAGGCACTAAACTACAGACCTGTGTCTCTGACATGTATTGTGTGCAAAGTCATGGAGAAGATTATCAGGAGGAGAGTGGTCGAACACCTGGAAAGGAACAAGATTATAAATGAAAACCAGCATGGGTTCATGGAAGGCAAATCTTGTATCACAAACCTCCTGGAGTTTTATGACAAGGTAACAGAAGTAAGACAAGAGAGAGAGGGTTGGGTAGATTGCATTTTCCTAGACTGCAGGAAGGCCTTTGACACAGTTCCCCACAAGAGATTAGTGCAGAAGCTGGAGGATCAGGCACACGTAAAAGGAAGGGCACTGCAATGGATAAGGGAATACCTCACAGGGAGGCAGCAACGAGTCATGGTACGTGAAGAGGTATCACAGTGGGCGCCTGTTACGAGCGGGGTCCCACAGGGGTCAGTTCTAGGACCAGTGCTATTTTTGATATATGTGAACGACATGATGGAAGGAATAGACTCTGAAGTGTCCCTGTTCGCAGATGACGTGAAGTTGATGAGAAGAATTAAATCGGACGAGGATGAGGCAGGACTGCAAAGAGACCTGGAGAGGCTGGACATGTGGTCCAGTAACTGGCTCCTCGAATTCAATCCAGCCAAATGCAAAGTCATGAAGATTGGGGAGGGGCAAAGAAGACCGCAGACAGAATATAGGCTAGGTGGACAAAGACTACAGACCTCACTCAGGGAGAAAGACCTTGGGGTGACCATAACACCGAGCACATCACCGGAGGCACACATCAACCAAATAACCGCTGCAGCATACGGGCGCCTGGCAAACCTGAGAATAGCGTTCCGATACCTTAATAAGGAATCGTTCAAGACACTGTACACTGTGTATGTTAGACCCATACTGGAGTATGCAGCACCAGTCTGGAACCCACACCTGGTCAAGCACGTCAAGAAGTTAGAGAAAGTACAAAGGTTTGCAACAAGGCTAGTCCCAGAGCTCAAGGGAATGTCGTACGAGGAAAGGTTAAGGGAAATCGGACTGACGACACTGGAGGACAGAAGGGTCAGGGGAGACATGATAACGACATACAAGATACTGCGGGGAATAGACAAGGTGGACAGAGATAGGATGTTCCAGAGGGGACACAGGGACAAGGGTCACAACTGGAAGCTGAAGACTCAGACGAGTCACAGGGACGTTAGGAAGTATTTCTTCAGTCATAGAGTTGTCAGCAAGTGGAATAGCCTAGCAAGTGAAGTAGTGGAGGCAGGAACCATACATAGTTTTAAGAAGAGGTATGACAAAGCTCAGGAAGCAGAGAGAGAGAGGATCCAGTAGCGATCAGTGAAGAGGCGGGGCCAGGAGCTGAGTCTCGACCCCTGCAACCACAATTAGGTGAGTACAATTAGGTGAGTACACACACACACACACACACACACACACACACACACACACACACACACACACACACACACACACACAAAACATACAAAATACTGCGGGGAATAGACAAGGTGGACAGAGACAGGATGTTCCAGAGATGGGACACAGAAACAAAGGGTCACACATGGAAGTTGAAGACTCAGATGAGTCAAAGGGATGTTAGGAAGTATTTCTTCAGTCATAGAGTTGTCAGGAAGTGGAATAGTCTAGCAAGTGAGGTAGTAGAGGCAGGAACCATACATAGCTTTAAGATGAGGTATGATAAAGCTCATGGAGCAGGGAGAGAGAGGACCAAGTAGCGTTCAGTGAAGAGGCTGGGCCAGGAGCTGAGTCTCGACCCCTGCAACCACAATTACGCGAGTACAATTAGATGAGTACATCGTCTCTCCCCAGGGTGCCCTTATCATAGCTGCCCCCGTCACAGGGCAATAAACGGTACATCACTTGTACTACTGACTGACGCTCCTTCAGGAGTCACTGCCGGGTCACACGGGCCACGACCCGTCCTGGCAAACTTACATGAACATTATCAATGGTATGGTGATACCCACAAGATGTGGAAAAAGACACTTATGTACAGTTCGGGACATTTATTAAAGGAAACGTTTCGCCAGCCAGTGGCTTCTTCGGTTCAATGCAGAGAAATGGTGGAAGATGAGGAGTTTGTGTTAATCAGTCCCTGAGGGTGAGGGGACTGTTTACCTCAAACTCCTTCTGATCTTCAACTACTCTTCTCTACTGGACCGAGAAAGCGACTGGTTGGTGAAACGTTTCCACAGTAAAGATATCCAAGTGCTGCACCCGTGTCTAATTCATCGATCTATTTTCTAGCCCAAGATAACTTCAGTGACAAAAGAAAAGTGATAGAGAGAGAGAGAGAGAGAGAGAGAGAGAGAGAGAGAGAGAGAGAGAGAGAGAAGAGAAGAGAGAGAGAGAGGAGAGAAGGAGAGAGAGAGAGAGAGAGAGGAGAAGAGAGGAAGAGAGAGCGTAGACGGAGAGGGTCTGCGAGGAGCAAGAATTCCCTTGAGTGGGAGTTCCGATCATTGATTGCAATCCAGAAGTGCGTGAATCTCGACCTTCCAGCATCACTGACGGAACGCAGCTCCGGCAGATATCACCAATCTTATATATTATAAGACTGACCATTTACTTTACCTTTGTAAGCACCTGCAGTGCACAGGTGTGAGCACCGTGCTCATACGTTCTCGTCGTGTTCGACGACACACGCAGCGGTGCCGCAGTTGTTGTACAGCGCTGGCTACACACGCAGAAGCAGCCGCAGTGTGGCCGCTCCACTCCCTCCTGAGTACCCTCAGAATCACTTTATATTTTCGCTCACTGAAGCCAAATCGCGCCATGAACCAGCTGGATCAGGACGAGAAATTGATCATCGAAGTGCAGCAGTACCCTGGGCTCTACGACCAAGGCAGCTACGACTACCGGGACCTCAGGAAGAAGGAAACGATGTGGCAAGCAGTGGCAGAGAGCTTGGGCCTGCATGGTGAGTCCTCCCACGGGATATATCCTCCCACTTCAATGTGTTATTCGCCAGTATGTATATATATATACCTCGTGCGTATATATGCTGCAGTTAAATGAGCGCATCAAGATGTTGTTATTTAAGGTTGTGTTGTATGTGTGTTACCACAGTGCTACATGCAGGAGACCGTTTAAAATAGCGCGAACGTCAATAAAGGCAGCTGGTTCTTACCACTGGACGGGCGCGGCTGTGTTGACCTGAGGTGATGTACTGACCTGTGGTGGTGTACGGACCTGTGGTGGTTTACTGACCTGTAGTGGTGTATTGACCTGTGGCAGTGTACTGAACTGCGGTGGTTTACTGACCTGTAGTGGTGTATTAACCTCTGGTGGTGTATTAACCTCTGGTGGTGTACTAACCTGTGGTGATGTACTAACTTGTGGTGGTGTACTGACCTGTAGTGGTGTACTGACCTGTAGTGGTGTACTGACCTGTAGTGGTGTACTGACCTGTGGTAGTGTACTGAACTGTGGTGGTTTACTGACCTGTAGTAGTGTACTAACCAGTGGTGGTGCACTGACCTGTAGTGGTGTACTGACCTGTAGTGGTGTACTGACCTGTAGTGGTGTACTGACCTGTAGTGGTGTACTGACCTGTGGTAGTGTACTGAACTGAGGTGGTTTTACTGACCTGTAGTGGTGTACTAACCAGTGGTGGTGTACTGACCTGTGTTGATGTACTAACCTGTGGTGGTGTACTGACCTGTAGTGGTGTACTGACCTGTGGTAGTGTACTAGCCTGTGGTGGTGTACTGACCTGTGGTGGTGTACTAGCCTGTGGTGGTGTACTGACCTGTGGTAGTGTACTGACCTGTAGTGGTGTACTGACCTGTGGTGGTGTACTGACCTGTGGTAGTGGTATACTGACCTGTGGCAGTGTACTGACCCGTGGTAGTGTACTGACCTGCGGTAGTGCACTGACCTGTGGTAGTGCACTGACCTGTGGTAGTGCACTGACCTGTGGTAGTGCACTGACCTGTGGTGGTGTACTGACCTGCGGTGGTGTACTGTCCTGCAGTGGCGTAATGACCTGTAATGGTGTACTAACCTGTGGTAGTGTAGTGACCTGTGGTAGTGGTGTACTGACCTGTGGTGGCGTTGTACTGACTGGTGGTATTGTACTGACCTGTGGTGTATTGAACTGTGGTAATAAAGTACTGACCTGTGATGTATTGACCTGTGCTGGTGAACTGACTTATGGCGGTGGTGCTGAACTGTGATACTGACCTTCAGTGTTGTGCTGACCTGTGATAGAGGTGTACTGACCTGTGCTGTACTGACCTCTGGTGGAGTACTGACCTGTAATGGTGTACTGACCTGTGGAAATGTTGTACTGACCTGTAATGGTGTACCGACCTGTGGAAGTGTTGTACTCATCTGTGGTGGTGTACTGACCCGTGGTGGTGCACTGACCTGTGGTGGTGCACTAACCTGTGGTGGTGCACTGACCTCTGGGACTGTATTGACTTGTGGTGTTGTACTGACATGTGATGGTGTATTGACCTGTGGTGGTGCACTGACCTGTGGTGGTGTACTGACCTGTGGTGGTGTACTGACATGTGGTTTACTGACCTGTAGTGTTGTAGTGACCTATGGCGATGCTCTGACCTGCGGTGTTGTACTGACCTGTAGTGGTATACTGACAAGTGGTATTTTAGTGACCTATGGTGTACTGACCTGCGGTGTTGTAGTCACCTGTGGTGTACCGACCTGCGGTGTTGTAGTCACCTGTGGTGGTGTACCGACCTGCGGTGTTGTAGTCACCTGTGGTGGTGTACCGACCTGCGGTGTTGTAGTCACCTGTGGTGGTGTACCGACCTGCGGTGTTGTAGTTACCTGTGGTGGTGTACCGACCTGCGGTGTTGTAGTCACCTGTGGTGGTGTACCGACCTGCGGTGTTGTAGTCACCTGTGGTGGTGTACCGACCTGCGGTGTTGTAGTGGCCTGTGGTGGTGTACCGACCTGCGGTGTTGCTGTGACCTGTGGTGTACTGACTTGCGGTGTTGCTGCGACCTGTGGTATTGTAGTGACCTGTGGTGACATGTAATGGTGTACTGACCTGTGATCGTGGTGTACTGACCTGTGGTGGTGTACTGACCTGTGGTGTTGTACTGACCTGTGGTGTTGTACTGACCTATAATAAGAACATAAGAACGAAGGAACACTGCAGAAGGCCTACTGGCCCATGCGAGGCAGGTCCAAGTCTCCTACCGGCTTAAGCCAATGCACCCAACCTAGTCAGGTCAGGTCACCTTGACTTAAGGGAGGAACACGGCAACCGTCCTGGTAGCACACGCTAATCAGGTCCAACTCACACCCACCCACACCCACTCATGTATTTATCCAACCTATTTTTAAAGCTACACAACGTTCTGGCCTCTATGAGTGTACTTGGGAGTTTGTTCCACTCATCCACAACTCTATTACCAAACCAGTACTTTCCTATATCCTTCCTGAATCTGAATTTTTCTAACTTAAAACCATTGCTGCGAGTCCTGTCTAGGCTAGATATTTTCAGCACACTATTTACATCCCCTTTATTTATTCCTGTCTTCCATTTATACGCCTCAATCATATCCCCCCTAATTCTACGTCTTTCTAGAGTGCAGATTCAGGGCCCTTAGTTCTATCCTCATAGGGAAGGTTCTGATACATGGGATCACTTTGTCATCCTCCTTTGTACATTTTCCAGAGCATTTATATCCATTCTGTATTACGGTGACAAAACTGTGCAGCATAATCTAAATGAGGCCTACCAAGGATGTTTAGAGTTGAAGAACAACCTGAGGACTCCTATTATTTATGCTTCTTGATATGAAGCCAAAGATTCTATTAGCTTTATTGCGAACACTTATGCACTGTTGTCTTGGTTTCAGATTACTGCTAACCAGAACTCCTAATCTTTTTCGCATCCGTAATATTAAGATCTACATTATTTAGTTTATATGTGGCATGGTTATTGTCCTGTCCAACATTTAGAACTTTGCATTTGTCTATATTAAACTGCATCTGCCACCTCTCCGACCACTGCATCAGTCTACTCAAATCTTCCTGGAGTGTTAGGTAAGACACATATGCAACAGTTAGGTATCTTTATTTCGAAACGTTTCGCCTACACAGTAGGCTTCTTCAGTCGTGTACAGAAAGGTTGATAGAAGCAGAAGATACTTGAAGACGATGTAATCAGTCCATACCTTAAAGTTTTGAGGTGGTCAGTCCTCAGTCTGGTGAAGAGCATTGTTCCGTTGTTTCAGACAACGGAACAATGCTCTTCTCCAGACTGAGGGACTGACCACCTCAAAACTTTAAGGGTGATGGACTGATTACATCGTCTTCAAGTATCTTCTGCTTCTATCAACCTTTCTGTACTCGACTGAAGAAGCCTACTGTGTAGGCGAAACGTTTCGAAATAAAGATACCTAACTGTTGCATATGTGTCTTACCTAACAATCTGTCGGTATTTCATACCATTTTAATCTTCCTGGAGTGCTCTAATGTCCTCTTGAGAATGAATTCGACGGCCTATTTTGGTGTCATCGGCAAACTTGCTGATGTCGCTCTTTATGCCCTCATCTATGTCGTTTATGTATATTGTGAACAGCAGGGGGCCCAACACTGACCCCTGTGGAACACCGCTCGTGACACTTCCCCACTCTGATTTCTCCCCATTTATGCAAACTCTCTGCTGCCTATTTGTCAACCATGCCTCTATCCAGGAAAAAATTTCTCCTCCTATTCCATGTGCCTTAATTTTCCTCAATAGTCTCTGATTGGACCCTGTCAAAAGCCTTACTAAGTTCAGATAACATATCATATCATTCCATGATCTACCTCCTCAAATACTTAGTATGACGAAAAGTTAATAAATTCGTAAGGCTAGGAACGCCTCTTTGTAAAAACCTGCTGAGATTCGTTAATAATATTATGCTTCTCTAAGGTGGCTAATGAACTAGCCTCGGCAATTATTGATTCCATTAAATTTCTCACCACTTATGTAGGTTTAGGTATTGGTCTAATAGTTCGAGTAAGGACCTGATCACCTTTTTGAAAATAGTATCACATTGCCAAATTTTCCACTTATCTGGCACAATGCATGTTTGTATGATATGTTGAAAAGGATTAGCCAAAGGTTTGCCTAAGCTCCTCTTTCATTCCCTTTAGAAACCCTTGCATACAGTTCATCAGGCCCTAGGATTTTGGTTCTTAATTTATTCTATTTGCTCAAAGGACCATCTATTGTGACCCTATCGTGCACAGTTTATTACGTCCTTATCCAATATTATTCATTTCTGGAATATCCTGGTAATACCTTATGTGTAAAAACTGAGAGGAAGTATGTGTTAAAACTTCTAACATTCCTATCACTGTCAGTGAGCTGACCCGTAGGAACTTTTGAGTGGGCCTAATCTTGTCCCTGATCTACTTCTGTATACCTGAAAAGAATACCTTTTGGGTTAAGTCTTCGATCTCTTGCAACTTTAACTTCACAATCTCTTTGTTGCTTTTCTAATTCCTTTTTTTATCTTCCTCTTTAACTGAATTATATCGTTTCTTATTGCCCTATCCTCTTTTGAATGCTATATAAGGCTCTCCTTTGACCAATTAGATTTTTAATCTATGTTCATCCATTTGTATCATTTTTGTTTGATCTGATTCCCTATTGTGTAAACAAAATTTGACTGAAATCTAAACTATGCCCTGGAAACGTCATTCGGCAACCATCACACCTACCTACCCTTGTCCAGGTCTTCAGCTTCAGCCCAACCTAAGTAATCTTTTCAGTCCTTTGAATACCAAGCGGAATCAGTTAACGTAGAACTTTGATTGCCATTATTGGGAATTCATGATTTTAAAACTGATGATTTTGATTCACTTCCCCAAGCTCTCTTAACCTCAAGATTATTTAAATTAGTGTTTTCCCTACTGCAAAGAACCATTTTAAGGAGGTTATTTCCCTAGTTG